TTCCAGTGTCCCAGAGAGTGTCAGGAAAGCTAACCCTTCCAGTGTCCTAGAGAGTGTCAGGAATACTAATCCTGCCAGTGTCCCACAGAGTGTCAGGAAGTACCCAACTTACATTTAAAGTGGCTGTTTGAGTCTTTATCCACTGCTCAGGCATCTAAACAGGGTGATGCGTGTATGGAATGAGCTGCCAGAGGAAGTGATGGAGGCTGGTACAATTTCAACATTTGAAAGGCATCTGGATGGGTATATGAATAGGAAGGGTTTAGAGGGATATGGGCCAAAAGCTGGCAAGTGGGACTAGATTTATTTGGGTATCTGATCAGCATGGACAAGTTGGACTGAAGGGTCTGTTTCCATGCTGTATATTTCTATGACTATAAATAATATATTTAAAAGGGACAATTCATAACTATGTTGCAGTCAGTGAGTGACCATGTCTAGTGTGGTCACTGCTATAAATTGGAGTCACTACAGCCACTCTGCACACAGCAAGATCTCACAAACAGCAATGAGATAATGACCAAAAAAGTCTGTTTGTGATGTTTACCAAAAGGTAAATGTGGAGCATGACCAGCCGAACCCCCGTACTATCTCTCAAAAGTACTGTGGAATATATTTTATCCACTTGAGAAGGTTGACAGGGTCTTTACTTAATACCTTATGTGAGAAACAACACCCTCTGTCAGTGTAACATCCCTTCAGTTCTATGCTAAAGTATCAGCTCGCGTCTCTCGGGCAAGGTTTAAACCCACAGGCTTCTCAGAGACAAGTGGGTTTGCATTGAGCCAAGGCTGACATTTGAATCAATAGCACTTTCATTACCTAGGTAGCTGCATCAATCCACAACCTGAAGCATGTGATCACACTCAGTGGTGTTAGGTGGAATGTAATCCTTGCCTGGAGCTAGTTAAAACAGAAGAAACATCTTATTTATTCTGAGAGTTGTGCCAGGTTGCATGCAATCTGTTGCAACGTGATTTGATTGTTGCTCATCACCTTGAGGATGGCTCATGACAGCACAGTCATAATAGGTAGGAATTAATGATTAAAATCTTCGTTGTTTTACCTTGTGGCATTTAAAAATTTTAAAGCTAATGCTATTATCATGTCGGTATAAGCACATAGGAAAGGGAAATCTACAGTCTTTCCCCAGCTCTCCCACTGTACTGGTGAAGAGTGCGACCAATAATTCCAGGGAAGGGTTCCTGGCTTTCTAATGCCCTGTGGAAAGCTAGCTAAACAAAGCTAGCAGCGTGGGAGTAGTTGCAAGAGCATTGAGGTCACTACATACCCTGGGACCAAACATGACAGTCTAATTCGCAGCAGATGGGGCCTGAATTGCAGCCAAGATTCCAGAAGATTTGGGGAATTTGTGAATTTTATCAACTCCAAAGTGCATCACTGGTAGTGCAAATACCCATCACTGACATCTTAAAATGGGTAACCTGTCCATGACCTCACTAACTTTAGTTGGGTCAGCACTAGAGTTCATCGTTGAGTGGATTCCCTATATTTACACTGGGGTCAAAGCTGCTGGACATTTGGGCTCAATATGCTTTCATAAAATGTACTGCAGCAGCTAATGAAAGACTGTTTTTGTTTTATGCGAGCTCATGTCTGCTCTTGTTTGTAATAAGCTTAAGATTCCAAACTCAGGCACATTTTATTCTGTTCTTTGAGGAACTTAAGCTAACCTCTGTTGTGGATCTGTATTTGTGTCCAGTTAGGCAGAATAAAAAAAAAACTTTCTTCTTTCAGTTATCTTGCTGAAGCATAGCAATTGTGCTTTGAATCGTTAGCAAGTCTGTCATTAAGAAGGAAAACACTGAAGATCTGAAATAAAAATAAAAAAATGCTGGGAGCGCTCAGCAGGTATGAAGTAAAATGTTAGTGTTTTGGATATGACTTCTCCTCAGTTTTACTTGGAACAGGAGTAGGCCATTCAGCCCTTCAAGTCTGTCCCACTATTCAACAAGATAATGACTGACCTAATTCAACACACCTTTTCCGATTTCCTCAACAGCTTTACTGAACAAAAATCTAGATATCCCAGATTTACAAGTAATAATTGATCTAGCCCTCTGTGGAAGAGAGTTCCAAGCTTCCATCAATCTTTGCATGATGAATTGTTTCTTAATTCCACTCCTGAAATCTCTAGCTCTTCCAGGTCATGTCCTCTAATTATAGATTCTTCAATCAGTGGAAATATTTCTCTCTATTTACCCTGTCTTGATACTTTAAAAACTTCAATCAAGCTACTTTCTACCCTTTTAAATTCATGGGGATGAAAAGTTTGTTTGTGAAACCTCTGTTCATGGTTTAACTCTCGGTGTCCTTTTACCATTGTGTTAAATCTGTGGCATATTCCGTTCAAATATTTTATATCCATCCAAAGTTTGATTTGCCCAGTATTGTACTCAGTGTGGTCTAACTCAACCCATTCTTTCTAGATGATTTGGGCATAAGGGACAGAATGTTGTATTTTGCTGACTACACAAAGGTAATGGAATTGCAATCAGTAGAGAAGACATTGGTTAATAGCATAGGTAAGGTAGGACATGCCAGTATTGGGAAAAATATAATGTAATGCATTATTAAAGGAAATGAAGAAATGGTATGAACATTCAATAGGAACAGATGGAAGGGTCCAAAAGTTCAAGTATCTAATTCCTTGAAAGTACAATTGCTGGCAGAAAAAAAAGTCATTAAAAACACAATTGTTTTATGTCGTAAATGGAACATTAAAGATGATAATAAACAAAATAGTTTGTGCAGGGTAACATTTCAGTCTCAATTAAAACACTGTACCACCATTATAGAACATCCATTAATGCTATAGAGAACATTGGTCAAAGATTCAACAAGATGATGCTGGGGTTTGGAAACGGTAAGTTATAAGGAAAGAGTTAAAATACCAGTAATATTATTAGTAGAATAGAGGTGCTTGACAGGAGGCTGAATAAAACATTTTAAAATTATCTGAAGTTTTGTTAAAGAAATAAAGAGATACTACCTCTGACTGAAAGCTAGTGATAAGGGGGTAATCAAATTAAATTTGTCATTATTAAATAATTGAGGGGAATGTTTAAGAGAAATTTCTTTACATAGAAGCTGGTTGAAATATCAAATATTGTGCCATATCAGACATATCTTACAATGGCAATTGGAGAATTTTAATTCAGTTTGAAAATGGAAAGCTGGTATCAATTAAAAATGATTTATGGCTTTGTGTTTTAGCTTGTAGGTGGTGTAGAGAAGATTAACTTAGTTCATATGATGAGGGTGTTGTCTGATGAAAAGCTGAGTAAGTTGGACCTGTACAATCTTGTGTTTTGAAGAATTAGAAGCAATCACATTGAAACATGCAAGATTTTGAAGAGTTGACGGGGATATTGTTTCTGCACATTTAGGGACCCAGAATTGGGGGGTTTGGGGGCATGGTTTCTGGATCAAATGTATATCATGTCGGACTGAGATGAGGAGACATTTCTTCACTAAGAGGGTTGGGAATCTTTGGAATTTTTGACTGGAGGGTTCTCCATTGTTGAATATATTCCAAGCTGAGATAAACATATCTTTGTTCTCACAGAGAAGTAAGGATTCTGGAAAGCAAGCTGGAAAGTGATTTGGAACAGAATGTCACAGAATGATCATGTTGAATGATGGAGCAAGCTGGAGGAGCCATATTATTTACTCATGTTCCTATTTTTCATGTTCTGAAGCCCTTTTCAGTTGTAAATTATTCAGTCCTGCCTTGTTCTGACCTACGTGTGACTCAAATCCCACACAAACGTGGTCAACAGTACTCTAAAGAAGAAGAAAGCAGCTCTCTACTACCTTCTCAAGGGCAGTTAGAATGGGCAATAAATGCTGGCCCAGCCAATGATGCCCATGTCCCATGAGTGAATAAAACAAAAGGTCGCCAAGCAAACCACTCAGTTGCAACAAATGCTACAAAGAATCAACATTCTGGAGGCAATTTTCACCATGCAGGGTGCAACAGTCGAGAAAAACAAGGCCTGCCACTCTCATCTCAGGGCAACTAGAGATACACTACAGTTGCTCCCTGACTTACAAATATCTGAATTATGTTCATACTTACTAATGAGATCCCACATTACTATTAAGTTTAAGGATCTGGCATGCGAACATTCAGTCGTACTTACAAATGGATGTTTTACATTGTACTGTATTGTGTTCCGACTTGTGAAAAGTAGACTTATGAATATACACAGGAAAGGAATCATGCAGGGACTGCCTATACTGTTGCCTTTCTTGCCCCTGGACTTGGAGGATCTTACAAAGACACCACTGGTGGCACTTAAGGTTGGACAGGCCTGGGTTCTAACGGTTGGATTTTAGAAGAGTAAAGGTGACTTGATTGAAACATGTAAGACTGTGAGTGTTTTGAACCGTGCAGCTGTGGAAAGAATGCTTCCTCTTGTGGGAGATTCTATAACTGCAGGGTCACCATTTTAAAAATAAAGAGGCTATCACTCAATTCAGAGAGGATGAGAATTTATTCTCACATTAAGTGATGATTCGTTGGAATTCTCTTCCTCAAAAGGCAGAGTTTTTGAGTATTTTGAAGGCAGAAGTGGATAGATTTTTGAAAAGCATGAGAGGTGAGAGATTATCCTAGGGTATGTGGAAGTGTAGAGTAACTATCAACCATGACCTTATTAAAGAATGGAGCAGGCACAAAGGACCAGATGGCCTACTCCTGCTCCTAACCTCTATGTTTGCATGTTCTCCAGTGCTTTGAGTTGTCTGCCGTATGTCACTCATGTTGCTGAGGCATTGAGCAGTGCAGGGCCACTGCTGCTCAGTAAATTGTGACCTTAGTCTTGGGTTTGAGATCCAAGTAGTTAAATACATTTTTTGTCAGTTGGCCAAATGATGAACTGGACCATTGGAGGATGGATAGTGTCATCTATGTTTGCCTTTGTTGCTAGGTGGCTTCCAAAATATAGAACATGATCCACATTTTCCAGGATCATGCCATTGATCTTAATCAATGGAGAAGATTTTATGTTGTGGGAGCTGATTGGAAAAGTTTTTTGAGAATTTACTGAAAAGCCTAACATCCCAAATGCTTCGGAGATGGGGCTGACACTAAATGCCCCATCTCTGGACTCCCTGAAACCTGCCCATCACCGACAATGCATGCATTAAGAATGAGATGGGAAACTCTTCTTTTGCCTCAATGGGTATAGCTGCAACAACACTCCCGAAGCTCAACACTATCCTGGGTAAACCACTCTCCTTGTTGTGTAGAGGCTTAAGCCTTTGCTCTCTCGTCATTACTGCAACTTGGCTGCAGTGTATTATTGACAGGTCGCCCGGCCAGCAACTAGCAAGGCATCTTTGCTGGTAACTCTCAAATCTGTGACTTCCACCACTTCAAGCAAGAAGGCCAGCTGGAGTATGGGAAAACTATGACCTTCAAAATCCCCTCAAAGTCACACACCATCAAAACTGGAAAATATCCCACCATTACACTTTCATCATTGGATCAAATCCTGGAATTCCCTCTCTAACAGCAGTTTAAAAGTACTTTTACCACATAGACTGCAGTGGTTTATGAAGGTGGATTACCAGCAACTTCTCATGGGCAACTAGGGATAGTCAGCAAATGCTGAACTTGCTAGTGCTGTTTACAGCTGAAAAATGTATTTTTAAAAATTGAGAACCTATTTTTAATAAACATTGTTGGTGAAAAGTTATACGAGCTATCAAATGTAACTAAAATGAATTAAAAGTTAAAATGTTTTGAACTTTAGTCTAATACTTCTTGTTTTTAAAGTACCATAAACCCCTAAGAAATCATGACAGATCAATGTGATAGTGTGCTCATTAGCAATGGATCTGTGTTATTTTGCATTGCATCAATCAAACCTTGTCTAATTCACCTTAGAACTATGCAGAAACATGTCTAATCTTATTAACAGCTTGCATGCAGTGACAAGTCAAACTAGTTTTGATAAATGATTGCAGTCTATTAATTTTTTTGCTGACCTATCAGCAGAAGTGGCTTTTAGCCATTGGTTCTCGCATGCCTTTGTTAAGAACTGGATTAATAATGAACACAGCCAAGTGCACAGAATTTTGTCTGAAAGGTTTTGCTGATAGTGCAGAATCTTTTCTATGGTGAATATTCCATTCCATTATAAATACATGGGGCTAGTTTTATTTCCCTCTTGCATAGTTTGTTGCATTCTTGACTCCATTGCTGGTTTGTCGTCTTTGATTGGCAACGTCAAGGTTTGTAAAGAACTGTTAATATATCCCTGCTGGAATTTGCTAGTTAAGCCTGGAATAATAAGGCCTATTTGTATGAAAATGTGTGTTGAGACTTTATATGTGAATCCTAAGGCTTTTCATGGTACACATCTTTAAAAAGCAAAAAGTCGCCATAGACTTACCAGACCACAGGGCTGCTGCTCTCTCATTAGAGAGAGAGAGAGAGATAGTGAGAAAGATGACTGGTGGTGATTTAACCTGAGGGTCACCAAGCCTCCAGGAAGGGTTAAGAAGTTGAGAAAGCAAATCCTTCACGGTAACTTCAGCCATTGTGGGAATTGAACCCATGCTTTTGGTATCACACTGGCTCGCAAACAAGCTGTCCCGCCAGCTGACCTTCACACATATAGCCCACAAAATGGCTTGAATACTCATGGCTAGTTTAATGCTATTGAGGGCCACTCCATGAGAATGTTTTTAAAAATAGAATTATTTTAACTTGTTTTTATTGTGGCATGCCAGGGTAGCCTGGTACTCTTACCTCAAAGCATTTCTGAAGAATCTAGAGCAGTTCAGTTCTATAATGCCTGATCCACTCATTGGAGATTTTGGGTGGGATCTTCCCAAGCCCTAAACAAGGTGGGCAATGGGGATAGTTTGGGAAAATTGGGTGAAATGTTCTGTGAGATTCTTCTCAACATTGAGACCAAAAAGTGGTATTCATCAACCAAATCCTGAACATCAAGACTAGATTCTCACTAGTGAGTGGCAAGAGGCCTATTAACATTGAACATCACTTATTATCACTCATTATTATTTAATCTTGCTTGATTAATGTGCAGTCTCTCATTCTCCCCATGATAGATTCTAAGAATTCTTGATATGAATGTCAGAGCAGGTATTTGGTGACTCCAGCTCCCCATCTTGGACACTCCATGTTCAGCGATCATGTGAACCCCAGGTCCACAAGTGATGGAATTTGACACATACCAGCCTGCCTACATCAGCCTGGCATATTTCCCATCACCTACTCTTTCAAGCTGTACTTTATAATGATGCCGCAGGGCCACTTTGAACACAAGGATCATGGATTGGACCAGGGTGCATCTTAAGGCAGCTCGCCCCCTTGCTCTCTTAGTGCTCTTTGTGTCTATTTCAATGCCGACAGCTTCCATGCCTTCCTTTCCATGTCTTTTTGCACATTGCCCCTCAGCCAGAACTAACAGGCTCTCAGCACATTGACATAGCTTTGGACACAAAGCCAGGCAGCTTGTCACAGTTTTGATGGCTGTCATCAGTCAAGGAGGTGAACATGTTGTTGTACGACATATTTTGTTAAATTAATTTCACACCCACACCATGTGATAGCAGCATGTGCCAAACACTCTGCATTTGCTTCAACCATGGCCGTGTCTCAGAATTTAAGGTAGTCCTCAGAGTAGTCCTCAGTTAAGTCAAGGGCAATACTTTCCAGCCAGGGGGGTCTCAGTACACTCAGTACACTAAGTAAAGAGCAGCTCCAATATCGGTCCAGGAGCTTGGGCACAGTCAGCAGGTCATTGGGGGAGTCAGAGTCAGGATCCTCTCCTCACAGCGGGTGAGAAGCCAGAAATTGGGCAGTGTCCCATTCATAAAACCCATGACCTTTTTGGTGATCCACAAAAATATAGTGACCTCATAGAAAAATAGAAATTTCTGAAAAAAAAATTCAGGTCTGGCAGCATCTGTTGAGAACGAGAAACAGAGTTAACATTTTGGGTCCAAAGACCCTTCTTTGGAACTCTCTGATCCCAAAATGTTAACACAGTTTCCCTCTCCACAGATGCTGCCAAACTTGCTGAGCTTTTCCAGCAATTTCTCTAGCCAGTTCTCTAGCCACTAGCCCCCAATTCAATAAGATTTAATCTCCTATGTAGAACCTTTATTGAACACCTTCTTATGGTCCAAGTAGATCAAATCTACAAGATCCCCCCTTATCAACTTTACTAGTTACCACCACGAAAAATTCCAATTGATTTGTCAGGCATGATTTCCCTTCCATAAATCCATGCTGACTCTGTCCAATCCTGCCATTGTTTTCCAAGTGCTCTGCTGTTAAATCTTTTGTAACGGACTCTCACATTCCACTACTACTACGACTGATCCCACGGTTGCTTATATCTCTGCCCATGGAACCTGAGATTCATGGCTCCTCTTGCTGTCATCTCTGTTATGCCAGGTGTGTTCCATCTTCCAGTGTTGTCATGGTGCTTTAAGTTTTATATCTTGCAATCCCACCCACTGCCCATTTCAGACTGTACTTTCCTATCACATTTGGTACTACCACAACCCAAACACAGTGAATGGCTTCTTGCACCTTCCTCCTTCCGACATAATTGCAATGCTGCATCCTCCTCTCACTACTAATGCCATGTTCACTTTGGCATGACAGTTTAAATCTGTACTCTAAATATTAAATGTCTAAACTCTGATGGTCAACACTGTTAAAGTGGCTACAATTTTTCCTGGGCATGGGAATAGCAGTGAAACTATGTTAGGTGAATTTCAAGCCTTTGATGGTTTTCTTTTCAAGTCTTGAGTAATACATCTAAAGGTGAATAATTATGATGTGTTTCATCCTTCATTGTGGTCACCTGGGAACTTAATTCTGCGGCTATTCCCACGTTGCGTGGGTAATGTCATCAACTCTCCATCAATTTGAGACTGCTATCTATTCAGGGTTATGAGTTTCTGCCTTGGGTCTTCACGTGAGTGAGTAGGCCAGTTCTTGACTCTGATGTTTGGGCAGGACATCCCACAAAGTTGTAAGATCCAATCTGCAGGGTTTGCTTCTTTCCCGTATCTGTTGCTAACAACAGAGAAGTTAAGTTCACGTCATTTGCCTTCTGCAGCTCCAGTCATTGTGACACAGCCTAAGGAGATCTGGAATGTCAGTGGATCCCAAGTTTACCTTTCTTGTGAAGTTATTGGAGTACCTACTCCTGTACTCACCTGGAACAAGGTTAGCAGATTTCAGTTACTTCTTTATATGAATTCAGTTTGAAGATTTTAGGTCTTTTTTTTGTAACAGGTTTCGTAGAACTTTCTAAATTACCATGTGCATTTGTGGATAATTTAAAAATTGGGCCTCCAAATGTAATCACAGTGTTGAACCAATAATTGTGAATTAATTAATTCTTTTGCATTAATCTTTTATCCAAATTAATCCAAATCTGCACATACTAAGACTTAAAATTTTGAAGTAAAATAATATTTCCAAAAAACTTGACAATCTTAGTTGCTTTAGAACACAGATATATCAGTGACCCCATCATTCCCCTGGTTTGGTCTCACATTTCACCTGTTAACATTGCCATGCATCAGACCATTATATCTCCGCTAACTCTTTGCTTGAATGATCTAAACTAATCTCACAGACGTTTTCTCCCTATAGTCCAAAAGCTTCTTCTGTTTCAAGTATTTATCCAGATTCCACTCAAAAAATGCAGGAGTATTTTCCGTAATCACTCCCTGTAGCCATACATGCCATGCCCTAACATTCCCTTAATAATAAATTTATGTCTATAACAACTCTGTTGCTGATTGTCCAAACAACAGGAAATAGTCTGTTTAGCCTATCAAAACCTTTCAAATCTTTTCCAAAGAAATTTTTAATTAAATATCCTCTTAATTGTTCTCCTTCTCTGGAAGGATTAAAAACAGGGGCAGGTTCTCTAGCCTCTTGAGCTTGTTGCACTGTTCATTTTGATCATGGCTGATTTGCATGTCCACTCAATGTATTCAACTTTGCTTCACATTCTTTAACAACCCGATCTAACAAAAATCTTACCAATGCCAGCTTGAATTTATACTTAATCCAGCACCCACTATCCTTTATGAAAATATAGATCCTGATTTCATTGCTGAATGATCTGGTCCTAGTTTTAAGATTATATACCCTTTTGTCCTGGACATCTCACCAGAGGAAATAACTTCTCTTTATCTACTCAAGAAAAATCCTTTTCATCGGAACTATTTTTCATGGTTTATTAGCCCTGTCAAATCCATTTATTATTTTAAAGAATAACAGTTGATAGCCCTTGACCTTTAATTTAAGGGAATACAAACTTAAGTTTATGCAATTTGATATTATAAGTAACTCTTAAAATTCTGTATCATTGTGAAACCTTGCTGTAATCTCTCCAGGTATCTGTCTGCTTCCCAGTACTGAACACAGTACTCTAGATGAACTATGACCAAGGCTCTGTTTGAAGGAGGAATAATTTTTGTATTCCAAGCCTCTTGTGAAAAAGGCCAGCACTTTATTAGGCTTTTCAATTAATTTCTGGACTTGAAATTTGGCTTTAGTGCCCCGTGCATAGACACCAAATTTCTTTGCGCTTCCACAGTTGCTACCTAGCCAACCCTGATTAAAAAAAATTCCTATTTGTCACACATCCCCAAATCAAAGTGGATGGTCTCACATCTCCTTCTTTCCCCATCCATCTACATCACTATGAGCACCTAGTTCCACTTCTATGACATTGCCCAACTG